TTTTTATTATGTGAGAATGTATTTTGTTTGCTTACTTTCGGTAAATTAATAATTTTTTTTTAAATGATGTTTTGTTTTCGAATTTTCAATTTGCTCGTGCTCAAAAAGTTTCATGAAAATAGATTCGTAATATTTTGAGGTATCAGACACGCAATGACAGATTTTGAACAATTTGAGTTCCCACTTGTAGTAGATTAAGGATCCACTTCCTGTTTCTCTAATTTTTTTAAAATGGATTGCACAAATTGGCCTCTAAGTGAAGTAGAAACAAAACAAAGTATGTTTAGGTAAACCAAAAGATAGCCCTATTCAATAAAATAAAAAAATATATACATGTGTTTGGTCAATTTAGCGTGTCGGGTTGTTGTTGCCAGATTGGACTTCTACACGGTGGCGGCACCATCTATATCCACAATTTAGGCATGGAACTGGAGGGGAGTGAAATATATTCTCCTGCACCCGTGGTTTTTGCTACGGTCGCCCACAAGACTTTCGGTCCCACTGATTTAACGAGCACTTACTCCGCGTTTGGTGGCATCGGGAACCGAACCCAGGCCTTTCGGTCTGGAGTCCGATGCTCTGACCACTAGGCTGCCCATGGCCCTAAAGTGTCGGGTACCTTAAGGAATAAAAAAAATTAGGTGTGTGTGTGTGTTAGGCAAAGTGTGAGGTTTGAAAGAAAAGCCATGTTTAAAAAATCAGTGTTATATTCTTTCTCTCAGCTTTTATGTTTTTTTTCTCCACTTCCTAGTTCATCTTCTACTAAATAATTAAAGCCGCATTATACATTTGAATAGAATGAAAATTTTTTAGAAATATATAATTATAGTTTTCGATTACTATTAAACCCTATTGGAGTAAAAAAGATTATGATATCCGAAATCATTTGACATCTTAGCATAATGAGAAGCATATGCAATATGCAAATTATTCAGAATACTTTATTTTTACACTTGGATTATAAAGGTCTCTGTTTTTAAATTTCTAAGGAAGTAAATTCATTAATGATTTTATCAAGGCTAAATTTTTCAGCTCAATTATTCTCGGTTGTGAAAGAATTTAATCTGGAAATAATTTATTGCTTAATATACAACTTATTAGATCCAACTAGGGTTATTAGAATTTATTGGGCAATCAAAACTGGAAGATACTCTACCGCACATTTTAATAACGCTTCGAATGTTCTTCAAAATTGCCATAAGCAATGCCAGCTGTGAGAGAAGCTTTTCAAAATCGAAGTGGACACCCTATAAGCAAAAACACTTTTCTGGCGGTATTTCCAGCTCTATCTGTGCAACTGAAGACACATCGTGTAGATGGACTGATGCACATTAAATCTGTCGAGTTTAAAGTCCTCCCGTTGGAGTGGTGAGATAGTTTGGAGTGGGTATGCCATCCTCGGCACTTGAACGAAGGAGAAAATTACGAGATCCGCCGCCAGTAGCCTTTGTGTTGCTTTATAGAGTGGCGTTAGTTTAACTCTCACTCGCCTATCACCATACTAAAACGATAGCTCAAATCGAGATATCTGCCTCAGGAAAAGAAGAACAGGTTACAACAGTGTTTCTCCAACTGTGGGGCGGGCACTGACATAATACACTTATAAATGTATCGATACTGTCCGATGTATTTTATAATTAATTTAACAGTACTAAGTTAAGAACAAGTTTAATAATTACCAGTGACCCCATTCGCGCTTGTCATATATAAAATTAAGTACAAAAATTGGCAATTATCTTGATAATTTGTACTGTTAATAATTAATCGCTTATCTGCTGATTAAAAGTTACGCAATTCGCTCCCCAATGATACCGTTTTCCATGTAGACGCGCTATGTAGCGCATGTGATGTATTGGAGGGGAGGAGAAAAGGAATATAAATAAGCAAATCCTCTCAAATAAGTAAATCCTTCGCAAATTCTGTACAAGTCCTTTTATTGCATTCCAAAGCTTTTGGAATATTTTTATGGATAGCAGTGCACAGAAAAGATCGTACTTCGGAAAGACGTGTATATACGCTCCGGACAATTAACGTTTTGGATTAGTGAGACGTATATATACGTCAGTGACACTTAAAAGGTTAAAATCATATTGTAGCTCTAGCTTCAAAGTACAGTATTATCGAATTCAAAACATTGTTATTATATGTAAGGGGACCGCGATGTAAATTTTGATTCAATATTTGGTAGCAAATATTGAAAGTTTGTAACCAGCAATGTAAAATTTTAACATTTGTACAAAACAACATTGTACATTTAACATTTGTACAAAACAACATTGTACATTTAACATTTGTACAAAACGACATTGTACATTTAACATTTGCAACAAAAAAAATGTAAAATTTTAACGTCCCCTCCCCCTTTTTTTTTAATTTGAATGTATTTGAGTTTGCTTTCTTTCCCATCCATATTACATGAATATGAATTAAGGGCTTAGGAAAGTTATCTCACGGTTCTACAAATTTTATTTTGTATCTAATTATGTCCACTAAGCTGAGATAATTGCTTGTCAATATAATAGATTAGGATTTTTTGTACTAAAAAGGTTGCATTAGATTCTATGAAATCTTTCGAGGTCGCCCGCATTATTTTCGATCGAATACAATTTCCTTTCAATTCAAGAGGAATATTATTTCCTGGAAATATCAATATGTTATGTGTGTAAGTTATGTTTTCCTAATTTTCTAACGCAATAATGTTGAAAAGTTATTTGCATCAAAATTAAATTGACTATTTGTTGTAATGTGTGTTTAATAAAGTGCACTAGCATGGATCGAATTTCTTTTTCTGCGAAATTTCAAAGAATAAATATGCTGAAAAAATGTTCTCTGGTGTACAGATGTAAGGAAAATAAAGTAAAAAAATTAATTTTATGTTAAGTGTACTGCTACAAGGGAATTAAGTTTAGGAATATCATCCTTTTTATGAAAAAAAAGTCAAAGTAATGCTTTTAATGAAAAACAGGTATTTTAGTACTTTTTAATATTTATTGCAATGACAGGACAAATACTAAATACGAGAGTTACAAGGAAAAACACAGGTACATTTAACGGCCTTATTTGTTGAACTCAGAAAATACAAACCTATACTGTCGATATGACAATGCACGATGAAGGCGAAGACGGAAAAAACCCGTTGTATTGGACTGATTTGTCGCTGAGGGACAGAAAACTAGGGTTGTGGAACGTTGCAATATACATTGTACTACTCATTTATAAATAGTCATCGGTGTTGGATATTTATATTGTAAAAAATAATTCTATTTTCAGTCTAAAATCATTTAACCTGAATTAAGTCTTTGTCCTTTTTTCTAAAATGCAATCCCTTTGTGAAAATATTAAACTCTGAAATTATTTTTTCAAATGATTTCACCATATCATAAGCCAGTGATTCTCGACCTCTTTTTAGTTGCGGTATCTTTTCACAATTTCAAAATTTGGCGCCACACTAATAATAAGATAAGTCTAAAAAAATGTTACTTATCAGTAGTACACAAAATGAAAAACAGTTAATATGATAATAATTTTTATTGCTAAATAAAATAATAAGCACGAAAAAATGTTTATTGAGTCATTAGTTACAATTAATTATAAGAATACATTGAATGCAAAATTTGAGCTTGAGGGTTTGTGATAATTTCGTTTATATTTAGTAGTAAAAATGATAATTACATTCTCACTTTGTCATTTACATTTAAAAGACTCTATCTTTATTTTTGTTTTTATAATTGTTAATGCTGAAAATCCGAATTCACACAAATAAAATGTAGGAAATCATAACATTTTAAAGCCTTTATGGCTATTATGAGATAATCACCTCTAATTTTAATCCAAAATGAACTAATTATGTCTTTCATGTATTTTGAAATTAAATTTAGATTATTACAGAGCGAAATTAGTTTTTACTCTTCATTCAAAGTTAATTCATATGCAGATGTATCCGTTAACAAATGGATTACGAACCCTATCAAATTTTTTTATATCCATGTATCTACGAAAGGATAAGTTCAATATACCACGAATACACTGTTTATTTCTATAAAATGGCCGAATGATTCGATTGCGGATATTATTTTTTTCTTACAGAATAATTAATAATTTTAAAAAAAATTTGGCGAAACACTTGAAGAATTTGGCGGCACACAAAAGAGCCAGGGTCACAGTGGTTGAGAAGCACTGCCATAGAATATCTATTATGCACAGAGATTTAGCTCCCAGAAATAAAACTTTTTCAATTCCTACTCTTAGTTCTCTCTCTCCCTATATATATATATGTGTATATAAATGTAATAATTCCTAGTAATTTAATCTTTAATAGCTCTTGATTTATTTATGGTCCAGTCCTTCAGGACAACCATTTAATTTTTTTAATTAGTTACCCACCTAACGGGGACTTATAGAACCTCATCCCTCCACCCCCCAAATCATTTGATGTTCCTCTGGGTATAAATACCGAGATCATTGGAAATCTCTCTCTCTCTCTTATATCTTTGTTCTTAACCATGTAGTCGACTGCAGCGCTTTGTGTGTTCGTTGTCTTTGCTCTGTGCTGTGTCGTCTATGCTTACTGTAATTAATATGCCTAGGTGTTTCAAGATGTGCAATAAATTGGATTAACTTACAAGACTGCCTCATCAATCCCAGCAATATGTAACATCATCCAAAATAGAAAACGCATCTAAAATAAAGTAATCACTTCCAATGGCCACGCCCTATCATTTCGTTCGTTACAGTACCATCCAATCACCACGACATTATAGTTGTCTTTACCATTCTCCAGGAATATAGAAATATTACATATATATATAAATATATATATTGTTCAAATTTTCAATCGTTAATAAAATGCTTTCTGTTCACCCAATCAAGGGCAAGTATAGTTCATTCAAATATTATTTCATTAATTAAATTATAAAACAGGCATAAAGAGCAACAAAAAAATAATAGTCTAAAACAACAAAAATAAATAAAAAAGAAGAAAAAGAAAAATGTTTTGTTGTGTCCCTGTAGCGCAATGATAGCGCGTTGGACTTCCAATCTAAAAGTTGTGAGTTCAAATCCCACCTGGGATGGACTAATTTCAGAGAATATGATATCTTTTTTGCTATACTATTTTACTGGAATAAATAAATTTAATTAATGAATAAATAGCAAACACAACAAAAATAGTCCAACACACTATATATAGAAAGGGAATCGGAAAATTGCAAGGAAAATTGCTTTCTATTTTGTCATTTAATATTGTGATTCTGTACATATTTATATTAGTTGTAATTATTTAATAAAAAGTAACTAAAAAATAAAAATTTTCTTCGTTGACCTAAGTAGGAAAATTGACTTAATTATATATATATAACTTGTTTCTCCATATAACCGCGCACACACGAATGTACAGAAAGTTGGAGTAAACAGCACATATATTTTTTTTGTGATCTATCAAAATTCTAATTATATTTGTTGACTAAGATATTTTATTCCTGGTTGTATTAAAAATAGTTCTAAGCGAAAGAAAGAGGAAAAATTCGGTTATATTCATAAGATGAGTCAGGTAGGCCACAAGTAATAAGGCAATTTCTTCCCTACCTTTGTTTGCATAGGTAATTGGCTCCACAAGTTACATAATCCAAGTAAATGAAAGTCTTCATTAGACAAATAGTACTCGTCATTATATCTCCGTTCATTTACTTTTAGGTGACTGACTTCGCTCGAAACCATGTCTTTGAAAAAAACGTATGAATGGATAATTTTTTTTTGATGTTGTTGAATTATATAATAGATATAAGATTATTTTAAGAATATTATTACAAGGGAAAAAAAAGGAATAAGGGATGACATATTTTTAAAACGTTCCCCTTTTAAGAAAAAGGCTTCTATAATCATAATATTTTGTCTAAATACACGATATCTCGCAAAAATAGCACCCAAACTCTATACAGCAACCCCGTTGGGAGCATAAAAAATGCCCAAAGAACTGCACCTGTACTACTATAGTTTACGAGAAAAACATGACAAGCAAAGTATGACATCCCAGCCGTATTCAACACATCAACAGCAGTATTTTGCAAGTACAGTCGGGCCTCTATATAACGAAGTCGCTAAATCCCGGAAAAAAGTTCGTTACATGGAAAATTCTTTCTATAGAGGTTCATCTTTTAATATACTTTTATAAACCCCATAAAACACATTTTAAAATCATAAACACTATATATTAAATAAAGTAATTATTCACACCTTTTTTTAAAATTAATATATGTTTATTTTATATATATCTTACCCATCAAAAAAGAAAACTGCAAGAAAAACTAGAAAAAAGAATGTCGAAGAATTCACTGTATTTTCAATATACTTTTAACTAATAAAATAATTTTTTACTAAAATTAATGAATTTTAAGGACATTTTATAATTTAAAGCATACAAGTAATATTAAACATACATTATTTTATAATTAGAACTCGGGGACACTGGATAACTCCACTGAGGTTGAAAGAGGATATCGAAGATGTTTCTAGTGAAATGGGCAATGGGGGTTAAAGGTTGCACTTCTTAGATGAAGCGTCCAGAACTCGATTGCTCTCGGCGAGTGAGGATCCAATAAAACCAGTTCAAGATTTATGATCCCCGTAAAATGTGTTAAAGAGGGAATAACTTGAAATTTTTTCAGAAATACTTTAAAAAAAGGGAGAATAAAAATTGAATCACAAAAGAAAAATTTGTTATATGGAAAATGCACTTCGCTGTAGAGAGTTATTTTACGAAGAAAATCGAGAAATGTTCAAGGTTCCAGGAAAAAGTTCGCTATATAGAAAAATTAGCAATATAAAGGTTCGTTATATAGAGGTTTGATTGTATTTATAAAGGCAGTCCAAAGTGTCCTTAGGCGCGCCATGGAATGGATGAGTGCATGCGTCGCAGCAGCGCGGAGTCCATAGAAGTACAAGCAACACGAGCACACGAGCAACTACATCCGTTTGTGTGATCACAACATCTCGATCGTCAATTTTTTGAGATTACCCCAGAGGAAATATTTCAATAGTTTGAGATCTGGTGATCTTGGCAGCCATAGAAACGAACCCTCACGTCCAGCCCATGGGCCAGGGTATGCCATATCCAGCCAATTACGCACATGATCAGAGAAATGCACCGGAATCTCCTTATTAACTGTTGTTGTTGTTTCCAATGCCACTTGTCTGACGCAGTTAGATCGAGGCCCACGAAATTCATCATGGCAAGGATCTAGAAGTATGCCTGTCGTTGGCTTTGGCCTTGACCACCAAACAGGTGAGAGTACGATTTAGCTCGGAGAAATTCCAGAAGTGACGATAGATGGCGACACCACCAATCTCCACCTCCACAATTTTGGCATGGAACTGAAGGGGAGGGAAATATTCTCCAGTCCCCTGCACTCGTGATTCAGCCCACGAGACTTTCAAACCCACTGATTTAACGAGCACGTACTCCGTGTGTACTCGGAGGATATTTGGTGGCATCGGGCATCGAACCCAGGCCTTCCGGTATGGAGTTGAGTTGAGTTGAGTTTGGTGTTTTATGGCGCAAGAGCCAGTTTTGGTTATACTGCGCCAAACATTCATATGTCTGTGGTCTGTACGGGGAAAGAAGAAAAGAAGAAATTGGATGACAAGATGGAGGGTCGAAAATAGAGAAGAATCACTGGGGTACCCCGGGGTCGTGACACCCATGTTTACCAAAGATAGTAAACCCCTTGGGAAAAGGAAAAGATCACTAGGGTACCTCGGGATTGTGTGATACCCGTACCCACCTAAAGAAGGTGAACCCCCTGAGGGGCTTCCGGTATGGAGTTCGATGCTCTAACCACTAGGCTACCCACGGCCCATCATCATCAAATGCTATATTTTTCTCGTCAACTATGGATCGTACGGGTACAGTACTTGGAGAATTTTTCATGTACATACTTCCAACGAGAAATCTAACTATGCAGAGTTTGGGCACTGTCTTTTTCGGACACTTTGTACAGCTAAGACTTCTGTGCAAATTTTTTTCTAGGAATTTCGAGAAAAATAAGTAGATTTATTCATATTTTATTACAGATTAGAAATTTTAAGAAAAAAAGAAACATGTTTTTTTTTAATTGATCGTAACTCTGAAAATGATATGAATAGTTTAAGAAGTCCTAGATATATATATGCAAATTTTTATTATTATTATAGAATCATTTTCCATAAAAGGAGACTGTTTTGAAAATACAGTCGAACCTCCATGTTACGAGCCTCTATATTGCGAATTTTTCTATATAACGAACTTTTTCTTGGAACCAAGAATGTTTCATGGTTTTCTTCGTAAAATAACCTCCCTATAGTGAAGTGCATTTTCTATATAACGAAATTTTTTCTCTTGTGGTTCAATTTTTTTTTCCTTATATTTAAAGTATTTCTGGATATTTCGAGTTTTTCTCTCTTTTAACACACTTTATGGTAGTCATAAATCTGGTTTTATTAGATGCCTAACTCTTCGGGAGCAATAGAATTCTGGGCGTTTCATTCATAAAGTGCAACCTTTAACCCTCATTGTCCAGTTTAGTGGAAACATCTTTGATACCTTTTTTACCCCTCGAGTGCTCATGTCCCCGGTCCGAAATTTTCTTTTTTTAATTTAGTCGTAGGGGGTAGCTTCGTTTCGTAGCTCAAATGTAAAAAAAGTGGTTGACATCAAAGAAAAACATTTAATTCAGGAAGTGAATAAAGGCGTCAAAAAATTTTCCTTGTAGTTTTTCTTTCACTCTTTTTTTTTATGGATAAGATATATAAAATAAATATGCATTAATTTATAAAAAAATATAAATAATTATACTTTTAATAATATATAGTGTTTATGAATTTAAAATTTGTTTTATGTGGTTTAGAAAGAAAATTGAAAGATGAACCCTATATATAACGAATTTTCCATGGAACGAACTTTTTTTCGGGATTTAGGGACTTCGTTATATGAGGTCCGACTGTATGTCATTTATTTCTTCATTTTCCTGCCAAAAAATTCCATTGAAGTAATTTTTACTTGTAATAATATACTTGAATCAATTTTATAGGTATATTGCAATTCAACTGACACTAAATACAAAAAAAAAAAAAAATCATTTTTACCTTTTTCAAAATCATGGTTCCGAACCTAGTCAGTCACCTTAATAATTGAGTGAGTGAATATTAACGTGTTTAGCTACAAGAGGGCTTTTGGCGATGTACCTCGTAATTTTGAATCATGGTCAAGACCATAATGATTGAAAGTGAATAATAAATAATGAAATTTAAGACAAATAAGTTATAAAATATTTTATCTTAATATAATAATCTTAACGTTATTATATTAAATTGATAGAATGGAAAAATAAATATGTTATTATTAATAAAAAATAATGCTGTAAAAATATAGTTTTTATATTTTTGCTTTAGTAAAAGATTCAAAAATCAATACAGGAAAGATAAGAAAGATTTTTTACACGTTAATAATACTATTTAGTATTTCTCAAAAAAGATTGAAAAAAACTACATTCATTACTGAAATTCACTCTGAACAAGTAATATAAAGAAACAAGTAATATAAAAAAAATTTTCTTAAGTCAAAAAATTCCTACTAAGATCAACAAAGACAATTTTTATTTTAGCTACTTTTTATTCAATAGGTACAATTAATATAAATATGTATATACATATGGCAGAATCACAACATTAAGTGGTAATTAATTTTTATTCATTATCATTAAAGTATCGTATTGTCATACGAAACAGTCGTGTCTATAAAATTTCAGTTCAACTGAATGCTTTAAGACGTGAGAAAAAAAAACATTTTCAAGTTTTGATACGTCGCCAAAAGGATCGCTATGTCGCCAGAAATGATGCCAACATGGCTGTATTTGTAATTCTTTAAATAATTAGTTTTAATCAATTATTTTTCATTAGTTATAGTTAAATTACTGTATTGTCATCCAAAATAATCATATATATGAAATTTCAGCTCAAAATTCATCGCTTTAAAATGTATTTTATTAACGATTGAAAATTCCACCAAGATAAATAAACAAACAAATATATAGAGAGTGTG